CATGGTGGCTCAGAAGCCCTGGCCCCTCTTCAGCTGAAGAGGAGGAGGTGTGGATGCTTTTAACTTAGCAGTCCTGTCTGAACACACCTGTCCTAGTTCCTCACTTTAACAGCAAACTATGTCTCAGACCCTAAGTATCCACTGTATGAGAGCAACAAGGTGGCTTCATCCCTGTGAAGACCCCGAGAGAAGGAAGGGATGAGGAGCAACCTCAGCCCCAGGCCTGGAAGTCCCAGGCACTGGGGTCTCTATTCTTCCACGTGTCAGCATATGGCAGGGGAAGCTGACATACTTAAGGACACCTAAGGTTAAGGGCCCAGATGCTTGAGGACAAGCACCTGCTGACATGAGCCTACAGGCGGCAACGGGGTGGTGGGATTCAGAATATCTCCCATGAGCTTAGGATATTAGATTGGGAAGAGCACAAAGTAGGGAAAACAGAATATGAGCTGTTGTTCTTTACTATTTTGTACTAAAGCTGTCACTGCTAGGTTCCACTGGGAACACAGGTTGGACCAGTATCAACTTTTTGGTTTTAATAAGCAGGTATCTAACTTTATAGACTTCTACATATACTTGTTCAGAAGTGGCAACTCTCTGACCCCCTTAGACTTATGCTGCCATTATATATCACAGCAAGGGATGCCCTGAAGCTGCTGTCCTCCCTGGGTACTTAGGATTCCTCCCCATGGTGAGGAATGAGTCCTGTGTGCAATGAGCACTGTCACAAGGAGGCTTCCTCTGCAGCATGGACCTTCCCGGTCTTGGAGGGCTGCCAGACACCAAGCATTTTCCCATAGACAGAGATGGCGGAGGGTTCTTCCTGCAGATGCCGTTAGTAAGAGCAGGCTGTGCCTCTGGGCACGAGGGAGAGGGCGCTCCAACTGAAGGCTCTCCTCCAGTAACTCCGGGAACCTGAGAGGCGCACCAGTTCCAAGCCGGGGGGTTTCTTCCCCTGTGCCATACTGCAGGGTGCTCACGACATGCAGTGTAGGGTGATGAGCTGAGACTCCAGCTGACCCCAGGACTGGTTCCAGTCCTGCTCCGCCATTCCCTGCCTGGTAACCTCAAGCCAACAACCTAGCCTCAGTGTCCTCATCTGTAACAGTGCCCGCCTCTTACTAGCATTGCAGTGATTAATGAGTTAATATAGTTAAAACACTTAAATCATGCCTGGCTCAAAACATTTGACAGGTTTTACCTATCATTCTTATTACTGACGATACGGATTGAACCCAGGGCCTCACACATGCTAACTATGTGTTCTACCCCTGAGCTACGCGCCCCCAGACATTGTGACTCCTGAAGGCATCTAGGGAGGTGAGCAGTCAACTCAGTGAAGGGCTAATGTCAAGTACCTGGACATAGGTCCGATTCTAGGCCCTCACCTTCAGCTATGGGACATCCATAAATTACTTTACCCACACCATGCCACAGTATTATAGTTTCGATCTACAGTGTCCCTGAGGCGCATCTGTTTGCTGATGGAGCTCCTGGAAGGTGATTGGATCATGAAGGCTGTAACTTCACTAGTGGATAAGTCCACTGACGGGTTCGTAATTTGATAAGACACTTAGGGAATGGGTCATGGCGGAGTTACCCTTGGGGACGACATCTGGTGCCGGCCCTGTCTTCACTGGCTTGGTCTCTGGCTTGGTGCCTCTCTCTCCCTCCGTGTCCCTTTTCCCTTCCCCCTCCCCACGTGCTTTCTCTTTCTCTCTCTCTCTCTTTCCCTTCCTCCCTCCGTCCCTCCATCCCTCCTTCCCTCCCTCTCTCTGTCCCCTTTCTGGCTGCCATGAGGTGAGCATATTTCCTCAGCCACAACCTTGCACTGTGGTGCTTCTACCTCACCACAGGCTTCCAATGAAGGGCCAGCTAAGTGTGACCTCAAGCCTTTGAGAGCATAAGCTAAAATAAATCTTTTTTTCCTTTCAGTTGTTTTCTCCTCAGTTTCTACCCTATAAAATGGAGGTGAAGTACCGACTCCTCAGGTGTGCTTGACCAGCTAACAAGACCCAGACAGAGACAGTGCAGGGCCCAGCACACACTAAACCCAACACGGATGCCATTGTTTTCACTGTTGCTGTTGTTTTTCTTATCACAAACAATTAAGTATCTGAAATGAGGCAGGAGCTGAGGTCATAGGCTGTCCCTCACCGCTGCCCCAGGAAAGCCTCCCTCCAGGGTGACTGCCCAGACACGGGTGAGGTGGAAAGCTGCCCCTCTCCTCTAGCCTCATGTGCTCTTCTCAGATCTCCAGATGTTCAAACTCAGCCCTCAGCTGCCCCAGGAAGGCCACGTGCTCACCAGCTAGATGAGTGCTGCAGCGGGCACTGAGCACTTACTCACTCAGTACTCACTCTCCACCTTCTTCCTGCCCTCACAGAACGGCAAATGCAAGATTCTCCAGTCAGCACTACAGTTCAAGGTCCGCCATGTGACACAGCTTTGGCTCAGAAGAGGAAAGAAGTGTGTTGAGGATCTAATGATCCAGATTCATTAGGTCTCCTAAGGACACAGGGCCATTTAGTCAGAGGAAATGAGGTTGAAGCCAGTTGGCCACTGGTCTTTTCTTGGGAACTCATGCAGAAACCCACCAATTAAGAAAAGTGTGTGGAGCAACTCTGGTTTAAGAGCGTTGTGTTCCCAGGAACCAATATACCTCTTACAGGCTCTCTGGATATAGCTTTCAGCTCCCCCGCAAGGGACATGCCCTAAGTCACCCAAAGTTCTGCCACACCCAAGGGTTATAATTCCCTCATCTAGATACAATCTACCAATCAAAGCCATCTCTACCATAAGCAGTGCTGGGCAGTGACATAGCTGACATACTACCAGTCAGGTTAGCTGGGGAACTGGTTAGGACAGTTAACAGAAGGTCAAACCCTCATGCAAATAATTCATTTACTCTATCTACAGAGAAGCTTCACTTTCTCAATATAAATGGAAAGATAACACAGCTGGCTTGGATCTTTGCCCTTCTTTCTTCTTCCTACCTGGAAAAAGAAGGAATGGATGGAGCTATCCAGACATTATGTGACAATGAGGTGACAAGCCTGAGAATGAGGCCAAGGGAAGCCAAAACAGTGATCCTGACACCACAAAGCCATCGAATGAGTAGTCACGCACCATTTCTTTATGTTAGACACGTACTATCTTATGCTGTTAGGCGGTTATTTTGATACCTGCACCCGAGTGCATACCGCACTGATAAAGGTGTTTAACTCCGACATGGGTTTTTCACAATTCATTTTACTCTAGAGGTTTTCATGATCCTTACAATGACCTCTTCCTGTTGTTGTATAGGATTTTGGTCAATGAAGGCTTCAGTGAATATGAATTACCTACAATAAAGGGATATGCTTTTGCTGAAGGCCTCTGTATTTCATAAGAATCAAAGGATCTCTCTTCTGTAGGAACAACTCTAAATTGTTTTCAGGTTCCCAGCCTTGGTTCCATCTGGTTTGGAAGAGTCTAAGGTGGTCCACAGGAGTGGATCATCCGGGATGTTAGCAGGGAGAGTCGGACACCCGTTAGAGACTGTCACTGTTTCCTAATTCCTCTCTACCTTCTCTCCTACAGATATGAAATTGGTCTAAGAGCCAGGAGAGTTTTATGTCCAAGTCACTCCCTCCCTAGACAGTTTGAAGGAGTTCTTTTCAAAGATGCCACAATTCCATGACAACTGAGTTGCTTAGGTCCAGGAGACCCTGTCTCACCGGAGCAGTGTGACTAGTACAAACCACCCTGGCTCTGGACCTCTATGAAAAAAAGGTGCAGAAATGTGCTGCTTAGGAGATGTTCCTCCTATCAGCCAGGAACTCGACCAAACTCTACTGTGGGCAGCGTGGGAGTATGTGGTCTCCTCCTGCCAATCATAAGGTCCTGGAAAACTACAACTAGTCAGTTGAGTTGGAATCAACACAATCTGATGTTTGAACCAGGAAAATATACTTCAAACCCACAGGTAAACCGCCCGGGAAAACCCACATGAACCTATTTGTCTGTCAAAATGGAATCAAGGCTTTTTTGAGTTCTAAGTATTGGTTCTAAGAATTCAAAACCAATTTGTGCCCGATTTGAGCAACAATGAACAAGTTATACCAGTAAAAATTGGTTTGAACCAGTTTTATTTCATTTTCAGCCAGTTGCAACTGGTTGAGCCTGGTTGAAAACTAGTCCTAGGGGAGTTTGGAGGTTTTAGTTTCCCTGGCTTGAGTGTTTTACTAAAAAAGAAAAGCAGAGTGAGAAAGGTTTCAAGTCATTTAGTGTTGAAGGCTAATTTACTTTGTTCCCATAAATATTCATCAGAATCAATTACCAGCTTATTGAAAGAATTAATAAAATTTACACTGTTTATTATAAAACATTAGCAGGGGCAGGAAGCATCCTCCTGGCACAGAGAAAGAGCTCACACAAAGAGCCTTCTTTGTTGTGATGTTGGACCATTGAAAGCAACTGATGGGGACACTTACAGGGGCCTGTAAGACCAAATCACACCAAGTCAGCTCTGTGTACAGCCAAGCAGGTGAGCCCCGCACCCCCCAAAGTGACACAGAATAGATCAGTCCATTTTACACAGTATTAACCTCAAAAAAGATGGGATGGGAAAGGGGAAGTGAAGAGCCTAAGAAAAACCCAGCCTGAATTTGGATGCCATTATATTCACTCTGATCAAAAGCATCAGATCATAATTAGCTGCTTATACAGACACATTTCAATCTATTAATTCAGCCATCAGTGTCATCTGTGAAGCAATTAGCAAGGGTGTCATTAAATGAATGGTCTTCTATTCCTTGCGTCAAAGCAGGTAAATAGGCTGGACCTTCCCTCCCCTCTCAGTGGGCTTATGCACCACTTAGAAAAACAATTGCCCACACACCTTGCTGGAGAATGTGCTTTCTAAACAATCTCTGCAGGAAGAAAGTCACTAATAAAAGAACCATTTGCCTTGACATACAATGCAACTGCCCCCAAAGAGAGAAAATTCAGCCACTTACCAGCCACAAAACTTGGGAATGATGCCACCTTCTTTGTCTGTTAGGAAATAGAAAAAATGAAACACTAGTTGTAACAGAGGCCTGTAAGAACTAGGCTAGATGTAGACGGTTGTGGTAAAAGCCTAACTCCATGATTGGCTGGTGTTCCCAAGAACATATACCTAGCCGGTCTCATGCATACAACGAGATACTTGCGAAGGGCACAAAAACTCACCAACTAAACCTTGGTTACCCTCAGGCTAGCAAGTCACAGCCAGAAAGGTACCTGGAGACTATCTGACCCAATGGTTCCCCCACTTCTGGGCATGAGAACTTCATGGGCTTGTCTGATAAAGCCATTATTTCATCAAAGCTAGACCATGTTATCTAAAACACGCTACCCAGAAAATTCATGCTACCACTCCTACTTTAGAGGTAAGAATACACACTTCTGCCTTTATTTTAATAATCTCCCTCACAGCAGTCTTAATTTATATGGAATTGTTTTTTAAAACCATGCTTTAGGTTTAGAACAGTAGTTCTCGCCCAGGATGATTTTTATCACAAAGGGGCTATCTGTGAATGTCTGGAGACAGTTTTGGTTGTCACAACTCGGGGAAGACTCTAGCAGGCAGAGGGCAAGGATGATAATCAACATTACGCAGTGCACAGGATAGCCCCTGAACAGTTATCTAGCCCTAAATGTTAATGGTGTCACTGCTGAGAAATTCAGGTTACAGCATGATTACTGAACAGCGGTGCAAACTAATTTTCTATCAAATCGGGGAGCACCAATAACCCCTCCCACGCATGTACACCATGAGCAGCACACAGACACTCCACAGTGTGGTTGTGAATCACAAGGATAGGCCCTTCCTTCCCCCATGTCCTCCCACAGCAATACCCAACTGCACTCGCCCTGGACTCCACCTCCCCAGGTACTGGCTGGGATAAGAACTCTGGAGACTGAGCGACCATGAAGGGGCAGACAACTCCATCAAGGGGGCTCTGGCCTAGAACTTGCATCCTTGGAAAAAATTACCTCTGGGATGTTGTTATTGTCGATGGGTCCATTGAGATCAGAACGCTGCTGCTTCCTTGGCTGGTCCAATCCATTGCAAACCTGGAGAGCAAGAAGTTAAAGATTGTGTTTTTATATATTACAGAACTGAGCCAGGACACAAAAACTGAACATCCCATGGGATTCAATTTATAAAATACACCTATGCAGAGGTGTGTGTGTCTGTATATCTGCATGCATATATATTTAATCAAATTGTTATGCAGCTAATAGTATACATTTATACTTCCAAGAAGGTTTTAAAATCACTTTTAAATTTTATTATTTATTATTATCTTTAGTTATAATAAAGTACACATAACATAAAATTCACTACTTGAACCATTTTCAAGGGCACGGTCGAACGGCATATCTGAATTCACATGCATTCACACTGTTGTGTGACCATCACCACCACCCGTTTACAAGACCATTTCCACCACGGCTCATTTTGTCTTATAAAGCTGAGACTCTGTATCCTTCAGACAGCAATTCCACATTTCCCTCTGCACATGTCCTTAGCAACCACCACTCTACTCTATGAATTTGACTACTCTGAGTTCCTGGGGTGAGTAGAATCACACAGTATTTATCCTTTTGGGACTGGCCTATTTCATTTTGCATAATGCTTTCAAGATTCACGCTTGTTATATCAGAATATCCTCCCTCCTAAAGGCTAAATTATATTTCACTACATTTTGTTTAGCCACTCATGCATTTATGGACACCTCTCGGATACTGTGAACAAGGCTGCTGTGAACCCTGGGGCGCAGACGTATTTTTGAGACGTTGCTGGAATCAGCGAATCATGTAGTAATTGTATTTTTAATTTTTTCAGGATTCTCCATGTAATTTCCTACCATACATTCCTAGCAACAGTTCTTAGGGTTTAAATCATACTTTTAAAAGCTCTAAAATTTTGGATGAGAATAAATGCAAATCAATAAATGCAAGTCAACCTACTGTTGCCAAGTCTTCTCTTTAAAAAAAGATATCAAACCATAATTTTATTCATTTTTTATCAAACCATAATTTTCTTTACTTCAAATAACAAAATATAAGCCCTGGGTTTATTTTCCCTGAATTTCTTATACCACCCAGAGGACAGAAGCGAGACCCATACCTCAGGACTTTCTGGAAATAAACTATCAAGCAGTCACAATACAATGACAACAACAGTGATACAGTGACATTAAGTTCCATGTATGTAGTACTTTAGGGTTTATAAGAGCCTTTCACTTAGGGGATGGCTATTTCCACTCTTGCTTTAGAGGGGAGAAAACTGAGGCTTCAAACCTCAAGCCCCAAGGTATCTGCCAGCTTCTCACAGTGTTTAGGGGACCCAGCAAGACGCACCCTGTCCTAGACTGTCACTGTCATGTTCCTTGATAGAACCCCAACCCTCTCATGGTTAGATGAAGAATTAAAGATCCTGGGGCCACCACTGTGGCACTGATGGGAACATCACTGTCACGTGCCAGGCAGGCAGCAAGACTCTGGGTAAGTGCCCCCTCCATGACCACGGATGCCACTGGGTTTTGGAGGGAGTGGGGCAGGACAGGGTGGCACAGAAGAGGATGCAGGGCTGGCCTTTAAGGACAGGACAGCAGAAGGGGGGCATCCCTGACACATCCTGGGGAGGGTGCACAGGGACGGGCCCTCCCGCGACGGAAGGACATCAGGAACACAACTGACCCAAGCAGGTCAGACATCTGGTTGCTCCCTGCCTCCTCTGTCCCTCTGCAAGGAGCCTGTATGAGGCCATTTCCTGTGGCTGGCAGCACACTATCACAGACTGGGAAGTTTTAAAGACAAGAGGTTTGTTTTGGATTAAAGATCTGGAGATACAAAAAGCCGCATTCAGCAATGGCCTTCTCGCTGCCAGAGTTTTAAGACAGTGCAGGGCGTCACCAAGAGTGGCCCATCCCCTAAGTGAAAGGCTCTTTGGCTGCTCTGCTCTTCTTCTAAAACCACGGGTATTCTTTCACGGGGTCTCCACCCCGGTGACTTCATCTAACCCTAATCACTTCCTGAAGGCCCCACCTCTGAACACTATGGTTGGATTAAGTTTCCACCCTCTAAATATCACACAGTGAAGATTAAATTCCAACACACGAACTCACGAGGGACAGCTCGGCCAGATCGCACAGGTGGGCCATGACCTTGTCCTGCTGTCGCAGTACATCCTAAGGCTGGGCTCTGGCTTGCCTGGGGCTGTTGGGACACTCCTGTGCCCTTCAAGGGCCCCAACCCAGGAAGGGAACCCACTGTCCCGAAGGGAAGGCTGCGGTGCAAGTGGAGCCTCTACTACAAGGAACGCCAGGATGGCCAGGCCAAATGGACAGCACCCCTTCCTTCAGGGATGAGCCTGGCTTGAGGACCTTTCTCTGCAAGAGATGAATGGAGCCAGGTCCTCCCCTCCCCCAAAGGAGACCAGGCCAAAGCTTCCAAAGACGCCGCCAGGCAGCCTCACCTCAAGTGCAAGTTCTCATCTCCTCAAGCAGAAGTCTCATTGGGTACATGGGCCAGACATCTCTGTGTGGTGCAGTTCTGCTGTTTCTCAGTGCACTCGGAGCACGTCAGTGTTTCCCCTCTTATCTGGGACTTCACAACCAGCACAGCAAGCTGCCCACATGGACTTCAGTTCCTGAAATCCTGCTTGCCTCCTGGGAGCACTGCTCATCTCCAGGAAAACTGAAGAAATAAATTGACCCACCACCCAGTGACACCAAGTTAATAACACCCATTCCACAAATGTTACAGCTGGGGGTGGGATCTAATATTGTAGGCAGAAGGAGGGCCACAGACTTTGCACCAGATATGGGGGTGAGGAAGCAACACTAGCCTGAAGCCCTTATGGAGTTAGGGCCAGTGGAGCGATTTGTGCAACTTCCAACCAGGGCCCCAGGCTCCGCCAGGGGTCGCTGGCTGGGTACCAGCACTCCCAAGTCTAGCCCCTGAGACTCCGTGGTGTGGGGCCACAGTACAGGTGTCTGTGGGTGACACAAGGTCCGCCTTAGGCACTTCTCTATCCTCCACCTCAGTGTTTTCTCGATTCCCTCCCTAGTGGGCTCTGCTTATCACCATGACAACCGCACCTCATCATAAACAGCAGGGATGGATTTTGAAAGAGGCAGGAGGGTGGGCTTGTGAGGTTTCTCCTTGGGAGAGCCCATCTGCTGCTCTGATTTTCATCTTGGGGGATGGGAAGAGGGGCTGGCAGCATGCAGCTCAGCATCTGAAATTCACACAGATCGAGGCCCACGTGGGCTAGGGAGTCCCAGAATCTCGAAGGTGGGAGTTGAAGATGTTATTTGAATCCTCTTGTGCCTTCCCCCAGGTACAGCAACCAGCGACACCTCAAAATGAGATGCTGGCCAGGGTCCTGCCCCTCACTAAGTACCTTCTGTGGAGTGCTGCCAATGCCGGGGGCTGTAACCTGCCTCAGCCAGAGAGCGCAGTGGGTGAATACAGAAATAAAACACAGTCTTGGGAAGGAACCTCCACTGTGGAGCTCTCCGGACAGAAAGTGCATGTGCAGTATGGCACGGACTGGGCATAACAAGCTGGAACCTGGCGACAGCTGCTGGGGCAGAGATAAATGCCTTTAATAAAAATACTAATGCGAATAAATCGTTCTAATAAATATCTTGACTCCAGTCGGTACCAACTAATGCTTGGAATTTTTAATGTGTCAATTCTGATTTGTCTGTCTGATTAAACTGAAAACACAGCACTATAACCTACATTGCACTGGATGAACTAGCAGCAAGCCAGTGCACACCCACTCAGCTCGCACCATCTGTAAGAAAAGCAGAATGTTTCTGAGCCTCCTCCTGAATGACAAGCACATTAGAAGCTCAAGTTAGGGACAGAGCACAGCTCACAGCCAGGCAAGCCTGAGTGTCCCCACCGGACTGCCACTCCTCCCAGAAATGCCAGGGCTGGTGAGTGGCTTAGTTCTGGCTTCTCCGGGCATAGCTTCATATGCTCTGTTTTCAAAACAGCTGGTCACCCCTACCAGTATGGTTTATATCTCAGTGTCCCCTAAAGCCTCATGTGCTCACAGCTGACTGAATCTGGGGCACAATACTCAGTAGATCAGCCCGCTGATGAGTTTATAGCTAAGAGTGATTTGAGAGGTGAAGTCTGACCATAGGAGGTGGGTCACTGGGGGCATGGCCTGGAAGGGTGTACATATCTCCCTCCCTTTTCCCTTGACCTCTCTTTGCTGCCCAGCGCCATTGCACAAGCTATTTATCCTCTGCCATGCCAACCTGCCTTGGAACCAAATGATTATGGACTAAAACCTCCATAAACTGTGAGCCAAAATAAAACTCTCCTTACAGTTATGAGTGTTGAGTATTGTGTCTCAGCAACAAGAAAGACACCTATTCATTTCATATTCCAACAAAGATTTCTTCCTCCATCCAACTTGGGAGGGGATGCTGAGACCCACTGCCCAATGACAGCCCTGAATGGGTACAAATCAAGAGCAGAAGCCACCAGTGTCACATGGAAGGTCCAACTCAGAAATGTGGGCATCTTTTTCAAAAGTCCTTGAATCTGTCTCCTGACACATCCATGACTCAGAAAAAATCTGCAATATTGTTCTTTTTCTTCTTCTATTTCTCTTACAATTCAGGTCACTCCTGTGATATTTATCGTGAAGAAAATTAGAGCTTGGGTGAAGTATTTATTCTTATAATAGTTACTCTCATGGGGGTGCTCATCATTTCAAATAAGATCTGTGGCTTAAAAGTATCACGACGAGACACATTAGGGACACCAGCTGGTCAGCCAGTCTGTCCTTGGAAATCTCCAGGCAGAACTGTGCACAGAATGGGGAGGGAAGGAAGGCCCCCTTCCATACACCCACATCAGGTCTTTCATAGAGCACAGTGATACTAAAAATTATTCTATCTGAAATACCACCATTTGATACAGGGTCAATTTTACCCTTTTAACATCATCGTCATCATCTTCTGTTTCTTCTGCTTTTTCTTCTCCTTCTTCTATTTTATTAATTTAATTTTTGTAGTGCTGGGGGTCAAACCTAGGGC